TTGGAATAAAGTAGCAGAAATGAAATGGAATATATTCAATTTAAAATGTGTATTATTTCATTAAATTAAATGAATTTCGAAGTTGAAGAGAGAATTTCGTTTAACGGATTTACTAAATGTCATAAGCGGAAAATATCCAAGCGATGATATAGAAGTGGCACGTAGGAATTTAGCACTTAGTTTACATCATGATGCAATTACCGGTACCAGCAAACGTCGGGTTATGGATGATTACATGTTACGGTAATATTTAAACGCAAATGATTAACTAATTGAAACATTATCATCATCATTATCATTATCATTAATTATCATTTTTAATGATTAAGATAATTTTGGCTGCTAACAATGGAGATATTGTTAAGTAACAGTTATTTAGGTGTTGCTTGTTATCTATTAATACTTCAGGCATGTTTGTTGCTATCAATCAGGTATTGTTTATGTTAACAAAAGAAGAATGATAAGGCTAAAATTTCAGATTGCGATCAACTTTACATGTGTTATTGAAGGAACAGGAAAGGTTGTTAAGCATTTCGAATAATACTTTTACAACAACGGTATGTTCACCATCTTTTCTTCTGCAATTATTTTCTCATTTAATTTTCATTTTGTTTTTCAACATTCAAAAAAGAAACAATTGTGAATTTTAAGTTCGTAAATGATTCGGTGAAAACAAAAGGAATGTATTTATCGCGCAAGACATTTTCTTTTACGAATGATATCGAAAGGTAATTCCAGCATACTTTCAAATAATTTTTCATGAAAAGATTTAAAAATTAGACGAAAAGTTACTGATGTCAAAGTTGGCGCAATGTCGAGAGAACTACAAGATAAAATGGAAGGATTAATTTTTCATCTCGAGAAATGATTACTTCCACTTTTGCCCAGCGGCGAAAATGCTCCCATGATATGGAATAATTTTAAAAATTTTAAATGTGCGCCGTGTATTTGATAGATTTTATAGATTATATTTCCGCCAATTATTTATGCTATAAGTGTCTAAAATAAATTGAAATATTCATTACTTCATTCATGCTTTAAAATTTTAATTTTACAGCTACAAAATCCAAATTGTCAATCAAAAAGCATTTCAAACAGTGGAATTAATTAAATTGAACATAACTTCTCCCTTTGTTACTGTAATACATGATGGTAAACAATTAATAACACAGTTGGTACCATTATTGAATCAATCCAATCTTTTTGAAGTAAGAACTAAAATTATATTTGATAAATATTTCATGCCAAATTAACCAAAAATTTATTAGTTTGAATTTTCTCGCAACACTAAAATTTCGATTTAATAAAATAATGAAGATCCGATTCAGTTAATTCCGATATATGTATATAATTTTAGTTGTCATTTTTTGTGCCGCTTGTTCCATTTTCACAAACAACTGTTATCGTACAATTGGACAAAAGTCAGTTTAACTCAACAATTTCAACCAAATCTACCAGTTTGAATGGAAAAATTTGCAGGCATGATTATTTGATCATAAAAATTGTCATAAAGAAAAAACTCATGAAAAAGATCATAAAAGTCATTAAAAAAAAAACTCATAAAAATTGAAGCTTTCATCCTTCTCCAATAACATATTATGATGTGTAGCAAGCTTTTATCAAATATTAATAATTATCGAAATTAACTTCTAAAATTTTAAAACACATACTTTTCTATATGTTCGGAAAAATTGCTGTGAAAATATTTTAAAAGTTATGAATTATTTTTTCAGACCGAAAATGGCACATCAAAATGACATAGTTATATTTAAAAATCATTTTTTCACTATTTTTTGGAATGTAAACAATACTGAAAGTCACCGAGTTAGTCATTTCAAATTTGTTGTTTTTCTGAAACAATTAATGTGATTAATTTAAAAAGCAAATTAACATTTTCATTTTAACTTTCATTTGCTTTCTTTCTTTTATTTGCAAATTGCAACAAATTAATTTATTCCTTTATCAAAATTCTTTTAACATTTCGCATTAATTTCAATAAAATAAAATAATGGTTTAAAATTTTTTGATCAAAAAAAAGGAATGGGAAGCATTTGAAAAAAAAGAATTTATTGTAAACAAGTTATCATTTAGCTAGTTTACAATGATGGAAGTCTTGAAACAAATTTCAATATTTATTTTAATCAAATCAATGATTACGGTGGTGCATATACAATGGTATCAGGATTATCATTTCAGGTATCTTAGCTTGATACTATTCTATTTATGTTTAATGCATGTTTATTTGTTTGCATTTTTGTTTATTTACCAAAATTATTTACCAACTTATTTAATTAGCATCATGCATTTTTTGCATTAATTTTTTTAATAAATTTATTCCACTATAATTTCACTAATATTATTTGTTTGATGATTTCATCAAAGATACTTGCAAACAATAGCAATTTCTGCTTGTTCTTTGTAGAATATTAGCAATAAAAATCAATTATCAGCCGTTATTATCCAAGGTCCAGTTTATTCAAGCATTTATCAGCAATTATCTCCGCAATTAACTTATTGCATTACGATTATCAATTCAACAGATGATTCAGCTCGATCATTTCAAATTGATGTCTTCACAAATGTCAATTCAATGCCTGGACATACATTTTTTATGAATTTAAAGAGTAATATTGAAAATGATGGTCATTTCTATACTGATGTAAATGGAATGTATTTAATACAACGAAGGTTAGTAAATGTTGAAAAGAGCTGAAGTATGCATGCAATGAAAAATATTTTTGATTTTTTTCATGGAATGAGAAAGATTTTTTTCTGCGTGTTTAATACAAAAGAAAAAGATTTTCAGTACTTTTCATTTTATTTTATTTCATCTTACAATTCATACTGCTAATTTTTCATAAGATATTTTTGATCTTTCGATCGGTTAATATTGCAAATTTTCTCAACTACTATTATTACCTACAAAATAATATTAGCAATGGGAATTTTTGTTTTTCTTTTATTTTATAGCTATGATAAGAGGATGAAATTTGAAGCGAACATTTATCCGATGATTACCGAAGCAATGATAGAAGATGATAAGCTTCGTTGTACCATTCTTGGAGCTCAATCGACTGGTGTTACTTCAAAATTGGGTGTCCTTACTCTAATGATAGATCGAGAAATGTATAACGATGATGGGAAAGGTTTAGAATATTACGAAGCTAGTGAGGTTCAAAAATTATTTTACCAATCAGTAATTGCTATTTACCATTTCATGGAGCATTTTCATATAAGACATGAATTTTTCATAAAATTTTTAGAGTCATCCATCACATCTCAAATATCGAATTATTTTTGAAGCAAAAATGCCACTAAGTGATGATTTCAATCGTAAGAAAAGAGTTGACGAAAATAAATCAGAAAATGATAGTTTACCGATGAACATGCAGAATACTTTATATCATTCACAATTTGTGCAACAAATCTTAGAGGAATTACTTTATCCGGCCGCTCTATTCTCATCATCAAATATCAATTCAACCGATGATAATGGTTTTTACTTCATTAATTTATCATCCCATTTATCAGTTTATTCATTTTTACGAAAATAATCATTAACTGTGATCAACACTAATACTGTATTGATGATACCACAATAATTATCAGATGAGAGCATGATAATTATAGCTAATAGTCAAATTTATCCTGAAAACTATAATGACATCGTAAACGAAATTTGATTGTCCTAAATGAATGTTTGAAGAGTTAAAAATCTTAATAATTATTTTCGTAATTAATGAAAAAAATCAGGTTACCGTGATGTAGTATTTAAGTCATCTAATTTTTTGCATAACATCATGTAACAGTGACAATAAAACAGAATCAGCCCTAATCTCATCATTCTATTTATTCTTCATCACTAAATAAATTCTTCATTCATTATTATCATTATTTTACCATGAATTTTTGCCAAAAATATATTCTCTTCATTTATTGTGTAAAATTTCTGAAATAAGTTCGAGTAATTTGTAAATGAAAATAATTTTACAATTAATCTTCGATTTACTAAATGAATGAACCGCATCATTTTGAACCGTCACCATAGAAATTGACATAATATGCGAAATTTCAATGAAACATTGTAAATTAATTTTTCCTTCAAAAATAAAAATTAACAAAAATAAATTTTGTAATGGAAATTTGATAAAAAATATTACGCATTTGGAATTAAAATGTTGCACTCATTTTTTCACTCATTTTTAGCAATAAACAAAAAATTTTATCGTTATTCCATTGCAGATATGATATCAACAATGATTGGTCTACCAAGCATTCCCGATAACATTCAACTTATCACTGCTCGATACATAGCACAAAAGACAATATTAATATCGATGCGTCAATTACCGTACGACTGTTCAGTAAGGTCATATAGTAAAGGCAACACTAATTTGGTATGATTAGAAATTAAAAATTTAATTCGAAATCTTAAAAAATTGAAGAGATATAAAATCCAAATATTGGAAATAAGATACATTTGAAAAAAATATTAATTACTAATTGATGATAACTTTAAAAATGCTATTAATTAAAATCGCCTTTGTTCGAAATTTTTTCTCTACAGTTTAATTTATTGAAATTGTTCAACTTTCTTAATCCTTAGTTTTTAATAAATTGTTTATGAAGTAAATGTAGTGACCATAATGCCAGCATAACTGTTACCTGTAGATATAGCCCTTTATCGAGATTGCAAATCTCTTACGTGTTTGCTTAGCTATTTCTGAGTAATATAATATTTCTTTCCTGATTTTGTTCAAATAAATTGAAATTAATCTAATTGGAAACCGAAAGATTCAATTTCAGGATTTAATTCAATTTTTCTCATCATTTAACGGAACAATTTATTTATCAAATTTAACTGGTACCAGAAAAGGCAATCAAATCAAGCCAGAATTAATTCCATCTTGTTTCACTCAACCGCTTCACATTATTTCATTCATTGTCCTAATTAATTAATGTTCAGTTCGTTTCTTTTTCCTTTTCTTTATCGTAAAAGTAAAAAAAAAATGTTTCAAGCGGGATTAGCTGTGCAGTATACTATTAGAATCGTAAATATGCATGCGAAGTATACGCCATGAAATTAGATTCACATCTATCATCATCTTGCACTTAAATAAAATTTCCGTGAAAATTTTTCAAATTTAACAGATTTCTCTTGAAATTGTGCATTAATCAACAAGGGTTTAAAAATTAGAAAAAAAAAATTGCAATAATCTCATTTTTTATTTACTTTAAGCATCTGAAAGAGAAATAAAAACGAATGGCAAATCATTATTCGGTTATGAAAACGTGGAATTTTCTCTTTGATTGAAGAGAGAATTTTTACAGTTCCCACTTCCCCTGATTTTAGGTAATAATCAGAATTCTCAAATCTTATGTAAAATTATAGTGATATATTCCGCAGAACCATAAATAACGCAGTTTAACGGTTTAAAAAAAATAAAATCAATCTGCCGCAAAATTCTGATAAAACAATGATCAAATGACATAATCAATACAATTTTATCAAGAATAAGGAGAAGGAAGTTATTCATAGATCAAAAACTTCCTTTCTACAACGACTTTTATGATAATAAAAAAGCTTTACGAGATAGAAATTAGATAAAATAACGCAGAGCTACTCGAAAGCATCACTTCAAGCATTAACTTCAACTATAAGGTATTGGATGGGAATTTTCCAGTATTTGGTAATTTATTTGATTCGCTTTTTTTCTTATACATAACACTTTATTACAAGTAAAAACGTTATAAAAGCAAATTTGCACCAATAAGCTTGGCACTAACACATAAGAATATTATAAATAGCAAACAAAATGAAATAAGCGAAATATGCAAACAATAGGATTCGGAACAACGGAGATTATACAATTGGGCAAATATGAAGAAAGACATCGAAATACACCGAAATTTCAATCTTATTAGCAGAACATCAAAATATAAGTTAATCAATAAAATAAAACACAAAAATTCAACTTTTTAACACAAACAAAATGAGCATAATAATAAATAAAAATAAGCTATAATGCAATCAATGCCAAAGCTATATATCACTTCACCCGTTTGCAGAACTTCATACTGCAAATGCCATCATTAACACAAGATTGATACAGGTACAGTAGAAAAATTGAATACCAAAGAGTGATGACAAAAATCGACAAAATGAACTAAATAAACAGATATTTCGATTAAATAACAATACTGATTAATATCAATCATCATCGTCTGAAAGTGGTTCATACGTCGGTTGCGGTGGTGGCTTAATAGGTAACGTTATGCTTCCAGTTGTCGCAATCGCTGTTGTTATAAGTTGAGGTGGAATAATATTTGCTGTTGGTATATTTCGTGCATTTGGCGGAGAATCCTCAGGAG